GTCTTCTTCAGCGACCTGGATCCGTTGAGTCGTCATCCTTCACTGGTCAGTATCCGTGGGCATTATCATCAGGAGTGAGAGAGGAGAGTTCTTCTTCTTCATGGCTATGGCCGCCACCAACGTCTCCATTCCAGCCTACTATCCTACTCCTCCATTGCTGCTACTCTACCTCAGCTCTCCGAAACTGGCGCTGTATCATCAGGAGCGAGAGAGGAGAGTTCTTCTTCTTCGTGGCTATGACCGCCACCAACGTCTCCATTCCAGCCTACTATCCTACTCCTCCATTGCTGCTACTCTACCTCAGCTCTCCGAAACTGGCGCTGTACTCCAGCAGCATGACACTCAACTGATGCTCCACCACATAGTCCCCGAACTGGAGACTGGACCAGGTATATACCTTTGGGCCTGGCTGGGCTGTGGTCAGGAGCGTCCGATCTACCGTCCGATTGATGGCCCTGACCGCAGTCCCAAGTCCTGGTACTGCATCTCTGGTCTAACTCGGCCTGCCTGGGTCCCTACCACACGTCCAAAGCTGGTCCACAATGGACAAGGACTGGGACAGGCACTGCAGACAAGTGCCTGGTCCAGCCCAGATGTGGATGAAACTGAACCTGGCCTACAACGGCCAAAACTGAACTCCACTTGTAGGCCAAAAACTGAACTCCACTTGTCCGAACAGGCGCCAGTGAAAGACTCCAAAACAACACCATCTGGAACCAGACAAAAATAGACCAGACAAAGTCAGACCCAAACAAGCTCACACCGAATAAACAAATAAATAAATAAACAAATAAACAAACAAATAAATAAATAAATAAATAAATAAATGCTGAAATAAATCAAACGAACGGGACAAAAATAAACCTGGCCTAGAAAAATGGCTGTGGCCCTCCAGGTCGCCCAATACACAGGGGCGCGCTGCCTGGGGGCCGAAGTGCAAAAGTCGGGCCTCCTAGGGGCCCACGCAGCAAGTCCCAGCATGCTACCCCCCCTCCTCCTTCAGAAGCCTGGTTATGGCAAGGGCGAAACTGTCGATCCAAAGGAGGAACCCGAATCCGGTGGTGGCAGATGGGCTGAGCAGAGGATGCCCCTTGCGTTTCTTGCTTCTTTTACTTGGCAAGGGCATCCGGCACTGTAGCCTGAAGTTCAGTGCGGTTCAGCCAGCGTTCTGCCTAATGGCTGCAGTAGGAGAAGTGAAAACAGTCCATCGAAAGAGGGTCTTGCAAACGTCACCCAGCGAAGTCATCGCACTCCGCTGTTGGTTTCCTGCGGATTGCCCTGTAATTGAATTTAATTACTATTACAGTATTATTACTTACTATCTAGAAATTAAATTCATTCGATCAAAGCTTGGAGAAGTGGAAGACCGGGTGAGCAGGCAAGTGGGTAGGGACCTTGATGGTGAACGAAGGTTCGTCTGGCTCATGACCAGCAGCAGAAATAATACGCCAAGGCCCCATCCATTTTGGAAGGGGCTGACACCCAAACTAAGTTACCCTCACAGAATGGGCAAGGTATACACTGCCCGGTAGCCTGTCAGCACATGCGCTGCTGCATGTTTTGCTCACGTGCCTTAAAAAGCAGATCTTGCATCTGGCGAATGAAGGCGCCGTGGTCTTCGCTCTCGCCCGAGCGGGAAATGATGGAGTCCAAAGGGAAACCGGCCCGCGTGCCTGCTCGGGGAGATACCAATTGTCAGGTGAGTGGAAGAGTTGTAAGCCAACTCGGTGTCAGGAAGTTGCTCGACCCAATCCTTTGGTCCGGACAGACGAGTCTGCGAAGGACCAGTGCAGTTTGATGCACTCTCTCCAGTTGACATCGGTTTGTTAGTGACGGGCGGAACTCGGCTTGAGGGACGCCCCCATTTGGTTCTTAAGACCAGCCCAAAAGTCGGACATAAACCGAGTGTCGCGGTCGCACACGATCTCCTTAGGAAAGCCCTTGGTACATACCCAACCAGCAAAAGATACCTTAGCCAACTCCAGTGCTTTAGTGTGATACCTGCATGGAAGAAACATTTAGCCAACTCCAGTGCTTTAGTGTGATACCTGCATGGAAGAAACATCGCGAACTGAGTTAGTCGGTCCACCACCATGAGGATGCCATCTGAGTAGTCTACTTAAGGAAACGGTCTGGTGATGTCCATGACAATCAGCACGCATCATTGAGATGGAACTGGTAGGGGCAGTGATTGCGGGGCTTACAACGTCGACAAACCTTGCAAGACTCGTAATAGCCAGTGACAACGGAGATGAGGTCGGGCCAATAGAAGTGTTGGCTATGTCGACCGATTGTACGGTTGACACTGAAATGTCCCACTGCAGGAGCGTCATGGAACTCACCAAGTAGGTGTGTACAAAGTCGCCGATTGTTTCGCGTCCAAAGAAGATCCTTCACCTGTGAGTGAGGAAGTAAGAACCCATCTGCCATCCAATAGTGCAAAGGCGGCAGGATCCTAGATGAGCATTGCATGTAGATGTCACGAAAGATGAGGTCGACCTAGTAGCCGCGGATGAAGTGGCATTGCAGTTCGTCCCGATCTCGACGGTGTGATAAACCACAACTCAAAAGTCCGAACGCCGCAAAAGAGCATCCGCAAAGCGGTTTGGCTTGGGTTAAATGTGATTGATGACAAAGTCGAAATGGTCAATATAGGCCATCCATTAGGCGATGGTGCTATTGACCATGTCTGAAGATTTGTAGAAAACCAAAGGATTGTTGTCCGTGACACACGAGCTGCCGGCGGCAACGAAGAAAGTGTCACCACCGTTTGCATGCATGGATACAAGCCAAAAGCTCCTTCTGTGCATCGTCGATCGAGTGAACGTGGGACACTTTCTTGCTGAAGTACTCAACCAGGTGCCAATGCTCACCATCATGCTGCTCAGGGATGGCACCAATGCTGCAGTCAGCATCGGCTGTGACACACGTAGGCAAAGTAGGGTCATTGTTGCATACTGTAACGTGGAGACCAGAACAAGAACCGACCTTTCAATACAAAGTATAAGATAGCACAACGGAAGACTTAGATACCAGTGATCCGAACAATCAATGTTGTAATGCAGTCCTGAACAT